GCATCGGAGGAGTCTTCGGTTTTGGACGTCCTTCGTCGCGGCGCTGTGACGTATGCGGCCGACAAATTTGACCTTCGGAGGACCCGGCCTGCTGTTTTGGACACAGCCAATTTAATGAGTAGAATCAGTTTATGAATAAATATTTTTACTATTTACCAAGCTACAGTGAAGTCACAATATATGACAACAATTGTCATATTTTGTGACCTCTGGGTATCATATTCTTCTTTGTGGCCATTTTCGGCCAGATTCTTTTGTATAACTGTGACAGCGCCCCCTCTGGTCACAATATATGACGGTCACAAAATATGGTGTAACACCTGTTAGCGGATACCGTTTAGCGCCGCCTACTGGAAGCGGCGCTCACTGGTTTGTGGGATTGTTTGGGGGCAAACAAAAGGAGAGTAAACAATGGGACAGGTTATAAAAGTTTAAAGTTTGGATTGTTGCGCATTTTAAGATGTTTATTTTGGTTCTAATTTAAATATAATCTTGAGGCAGTCTGACCTATGATTTATTAAATTCTGAGTATAAAACACCCTTTTGTCCACACATCAAATTTGGCTTAAATATTAATGCAAAATACTTATTTTTGTTTTAACAGTGGTAAATATTGTGATCTGTAGCTTTCTGTATGGTGTATATTATTMTTAATAAATAAACCGTACACCATTATATGGTCAGTTTTTTTAGATAGTCCATACCTATAATTGTAATATTAAGTGGTGAAAATGATCTGCAGTCAGGGAATGTGATACGCAGACCAGATTACTGTAAACCACGTCAACATATTTAGCATTAGATCTACTAGACCGAGTGCAGACAGTCTTGTGTTTTCATTATTCTAAATATTTCAACTTGTTTTCATGTATTTGTGATCATTGTTGCACATATACACAGATAAAACACAGCACACCCATTTTTAGTCATTTATTTCACACCCTGGCACTGAATGGCCCCAAACTGGACCATGATGCTTTGCGCTTGGCAAAGATGGCGGTATACACAAAACAGTCCATTTATTACGACTACAGCGTCTTCACCCTGTTTTTAATTTAAGACCTAAAACTCTTTAAACTTGGACTAGATTATTCTACACTCATCGCAGAATAGGGCTGCCACGATTAATCGATTAATCGACGACTAATCGATTTTTAAAATAATCGATGACTAATTTAATAATCGATTAATCATTTTCTTTCTTTTTTTTGTTCTTTACTTTGTTTTTCTCTCCAA